TCTTGAAGCCCTCACATAACCTCTTTAGTTTTTTGTAGCCTGCTGGTATTTAGGCCCAGATTGGCTGTTCCTCTAGGGAGTGAGCCCTGCTGGTAAAGTCGCATTTGGAGCACGCTATGTGGGTACTAGTCTTTTCATTGCTTTGTGCCTTTTAGTGAACAGAACTAAGAAAAAAACATGTTTTTGAAATAACAGCAACAACAAAAACCCATAATTTTACACTAATATTTCAATTCAAAATTTAACCTTATATATAGGGCTTTTACTTCTTTCATTTTAAACATGTATCTTTTCTGTTACTATGACTATCTTCTCTTGGTCTCTAATGTTACTAGCGTACTTGCTTGCTTTACTTTCAAATTGTTTCAGCATAAACGGTTTATATTACCACCAATAACAAAAGGTAGACTGAAAATTTAAGATTACCTTGAAGTTCTGTTCGTCCTTAAAATTGACATTCCTTAAAACTGACACATTGAGGTTCCATTTGTCCTTCCATTGAGAATATTTTGTTGTTTCATTTTTTAAGAAGCCTCTCAAAATATTTATTTTCCCTATATGATTCTGCCACCAACTTGATATTCAGCTCATTTGTTTTAATTTATTTTGAAGTTTTAGGACTTGTACTTTTTCTTTTGATTTGGTCCACTTTTCATTTTAGAATTTTTTTTTTTTTTTGAGACAGAGTTTCGCTTGTGTTACCCAGGCTGCAGTGCAATGGCACAATCTCAGCTTACTGCAACCTCCGCCTCCTGGGTTCAAGCAATTCTCCTGCCTCAGCCTCCCAAATAGCTGGGACCACAGGCGTGCGCCACCATGCCCAACTAATTTTTGTATTTTTAGTAGAGACGAGGTTTCACCATGTTGACCAGGATGGTCTTGATCTCTTGACCTTGTGATCTATCCGCCTCGGCCTCCCAAAGTGCTGGGATTGTAGGCGTGAGCCACCACGCCCAGCTAGAAAAAATATTTTAGGCTGACTACAGTGATACAGTGACTTATACCTGTAATCTCAGTACTTTTGGAGGTTGAGGACTGAGCAAAAGACAAACCTAGGCAACATAGCAAAACTAATTTTTGTCTCTACAAAAAATTAGCTGGGCATGGTGGCACATCCATTTAGTCTCAGCTGCTCAGGAGGCTGAGGTTGGGAGGCTCACTTGAGCCCAGGAGGTTGAAATTGCAGTGAGCTGTGATCACGCCACTGCAGTCCAGTCTGGGTGAGAGTAACACCCATCTCAAAATATTTATTTATTTATTTAAGAGAAAGAAAATAATTCACTGAGTTGCCCCTGAGTTGCCCAGGCTGATCTTGAACTCATGGATGCAAGCAGTCCTCCTACCTTATCCTTCCAAGTAGCTGGGATTACAGGATTGTGCCACTGTGCCTGGCTTTCACTTTTTTTTTTAAAGACTGAGTTTTTGCTCCTGTTGCTCAGGCTCGAGTGCAGCAGCGTGATCATGGCTCACTGCAACCTCCATCTCCCGAGTTCAGACAATTCTCCTGCCTGAGCCTCCCAAGTAGCTGGGACTATAAGCAACCGCCACCATGCCTGGCTAATTTTTTTGTAGTTTTAGTAGAGATGGAGTTTCATCATGTTGGCCAGGCTGATCTTGAGCTCCTGTCCTCAGGTGATCCTCCTGTCTTGGCCTCCCAAAGTACTGGCATTACAGAGGTGAGCCACTGTGCATGGCCTGATTTGGCTTTATCTTCTCAGTAGTAAAAGATTTATGTGCTTCTCAAGTGAAAACCCATAACACTGTCAGTTTAGAGAGGGAACACTGTGGGTTTAGAGAGGGAACATTTCCAGCCCAGTTCCTGATACCCTGATTCTTGTTGAGTTGTTGATTTTCTTTTTTTTTTTTTTTTTTTGAGACGGAGTTTCGCTTGTGTTACCCAGGCTGGAGTGCAATGGCACGATCTCGGCTCACCGCAACCTCTGCCTCATAGGTTCAGGCAATTCTCCTGGCTTAGCCTCCTGAGTAGCTGGGATTACAGGCACGCGCCACCATGCCCAGCTAACTTTTTGTATTTTTAGTAGAAATGGGGTTTCACCGTGTTGACGAGGATGGTCTCGATTTCTTGACCTGGTGATCCACCCACCTCGGCCTCCCAAAGTGCTGGGATTACAGGCTTGAGCCACTGCGCCCAGCTGGGTTGTTGATTTTCAATTTGGGTGTATCTTTTCAGTGTTTCTCTTGGCACATCTAAGCAAATATGTGTGTTTAGATTCCCCAGGTCTTATATAAAGGTGTATGTCATTGCAGTATATGTGGCATGGAGTGTTTTTCTCTCCTGTCTCCTTCCTTGTGTTCACAGTGTTTTGTGAGGCCCTCGTACGAGATTTCACATGTCAAGCAAGTGTGGAAATTCCATGAAGCTTTTAACTTTTTGAGATGGGGTCTCACTCTGTCGCCCAGGCTGGAGTGCAGTGGTCACAGCTCATTGCAGTGTTGACCTCCCAGGCTCACGCCTCAGCCTCCCCCTCTGGGACCACAGACGTGTGCCACCACACCGGGCTAATGTTTTTATTTTGTTTGTAGAGATGGGGTCTCACTGTGTTGCCCAGTCTGGTCCTAAACTCCCTGGCCTCAAGACCCTCCTGCCTTGGCTTTCCAAAGTGTTGGAATAATAGATGTGAGCCTCCATGATTGGCCTCTATGAAGCTTTTTAATGTTTCTGTTTTCTCATAAGTAAACTGGGTGTGTTAGTAGTACCTGCCTTTGGGTGGTTGGGAGAAATCAAGGCAATAACACATGTGAATTGTTGACTCCTGTGCCTGGCACCATGAAGTGCCAAGTGCTAGCTGTTACTGTCACAGTGTTCATTGTTTATGGTTTGTAATACTCAGCCTCAGGTGCAGCTGGACACTTACATTTTGATAGCCAGCAGGGGAACTGGAGCAGATTGAGTGAAGATAAGGGAGGTTCCCAACTCCTTAACCCTTTTTCTGCAGCAGTTCTAGGGGAGTTGGTGTGCTTTGGAGCAGAAAGCACATAATAATCTGTCTGTCTGGATTGGGGTGGGGGTGGGTGGTGAGGAGCAGGTGTAAAAGAGCCCAGCCGGGGGGTCAGAGGCACAGTTTTAGATCCAGGGCTTTCTCCCCTGGAAGGAAGCTGTTGGGGCTGACCCACAGTGCCCAGCCCCTACATGTTCCTAGATAAACCCACCTTTGGAGGAATGTAGGAATTATCATTGCCCACAAGACAGCTCCTTGGCTGGCAGTGTGACAGCTTCCTGTGCTTTTTTCTCACATCAGTCGTCCCCTCTCTCCGTGCTCCCCACCAAGCCTCCTTACACTAGTCTCAAGAGCCATAGCAGAGTTGAAACAGATGGCAGTGGCTGTCCCTGCTGTGGGTCAGGAGTGGTGCTCGGCACTGCAGTGTGGTGATGCCTGCCCACTGGGTTCCAGGTGCTAGGCTGACAGTGGGTCTTGCTCAGCCCTGGTTTTATGCAGAAGGGCTTTGGGGACATGCTCCTGAGCTTGTTTAAGTGTCTTATGTCTAAGCAGAAGTATCTTGTTGCTTTTGAAACCTACTTCCCCTTGTTTTATGGATGTGGAGAAAACTCAACAAATTCATTTTAAGTATCGCAGACCTAAGAAATGGTCCAGGGCCTTAGGAGTTGTGAGATGTCGACCTGGCCAGCCCCCAGGCCCGCCTACCCTCATACCTGGTCACTTCGCTTCTGGTCCTGAGTTCCTCAGGTTCCCATACCTCCATTGCCCCCATCCTCATACCACTGTCCTTCAGGGACAGGCTGCCTACGGGTCCCCTTCACATGGACATCGTCTTTCCTATTAGAAATCGATGGGGACCACCAGAAGCTGGGTGTGTTGACAGAACTGCCTTGGTGTCCTTTTGCTCTGACCAGGCCTCGCTGCTTATCCCAGCTTCTCCTGTCCCCTGGGCCTTTCCTCTTTATGTTGTCCCGTGCTAATTCCCTGAGCCAAAAAAAAGAAGTGGGGTAGAGTTTGGAGATAGATGTGGGATGATAAAGATTTCGGAAGTGTCCTTACAGTTTTACACTCATCTGAGACCACTTTTCATCATCTTTCCCTCTGCCCTGCTGTCTTCAGAGTGTAGTGGATGGATTCTGAGTGTCACAGTGGCTCAAGAGGAAGATTGGGTGAGCAGAGCAGGGACCCGGGCCTTTGTCCCTTCCAGGCTGCCCTGTCAGAAGGATGTGCACTTCAGCAGAGGGCAAGGATGCTTCTCTGAAATAAGACTTTACCTTATTTACCTGAAATAAGACATCCCAGTATTGATCAAAATACTAACTCACAGTAGTGATTTCCCTGGAACACTTGAGAGTGAGTGTCCTTGGGGCCAAAGAGGACAATGGGTGGAAGGCAGGCCCTGCCAGGCAATGCCAGAAACACAGGAGCCTGCACAGAGGAGGGTGCCTCAGCAGGCAGTGGCCTTCACCCCACCTGTGAGTGGCTTCCACACGCTCCTTTGCCTGTGCATAAACAGATGAACATAAATTCTCCTGTAATGCACAGCCAGGGGAGTTCCATCCAGATTTGCAGCAGATACCGTGTCATCAGTGAAAAGGCAGCAACAGGCTGAGCTGAGAAATGAAAACCTTCTGTACAGATAGTGCAAAGACACCATGGCCCACCCATGGCTACCTCTGACAGGTCTTGTGCCCTCAGGCCATTGCCTTGTTCCTCCAACCTGCCTGTCCCCTTTGTGACGAAAAGAAGGCATTCAAGATGGCTCCCAGCTCTCAGCTGAGTGCCTTTAGGTCAGGGGAGAGAAGTGGCCGTTGGAGGCTCTCTGTCCCCTTCTTGTTTCTTTGTGCCTGTTATTGGCCAGCCTAGCTGAGCACTGATGGCTCTCTTCCAAGAGGTGGATTCCAGAGGAGACCAAGCATCTGAGTCTGCCTTGCTGGGTGGACTTCAGCTCAATGCCAGCAGGCAAGGGGGTGGGAACGGGGAGTCCGATGGCTGCACTTCTTCATCTGGGATTAAACTGCTTCCTGTTTTTACTTTTAGGACGAATACCTTTCTCTCGTGGCCAGGCTCATTATCCATTTTCGAGACATTCGTAAGTAAGATTTCGCATTTTTGGGTTGTTGAGATCGCTGTGAGAGGCCAGCCTTGCTGCTGCCTCGGTGGAGTGGAGCTTTCTGGGCAGGCCATGGCGCCTGAGTCAGAAGGTCTGTGTCACCTCACTTGCTTCTGGGAAGTTCTTCATCGCCTTGCATTTGATTCCAGATCCCCCATCCTCCCAGAGCCTTGGCCTCAAAAATGCTGATTCTGACATAATGGAAATGTTGTCCTCAAAGTGGTCTAAACAGGGTTGCTTTTTCACTTGCCCATTTAATCTCCCTTTTCATAGGGCTGTTGTTTTTACTTCTGGGAAGTTCTTAAATAAGCAGTTTACCCTGGAACAGAAACTCTCTTCCCTAAAAGTTGATTTCATTGACCCATGGAGGCCAGAGACACTTAGACATATGTTCCCTCCAGACTAGAAGCTTCTGAGGAGGACCTTCTGAGTCTGCACCCTGGCTCCCAGCCGTGGTGGGGGCCCCTTCACCTCACATTGTGCCTCCTCTGATTCAGAGAACCCAGTGTGGTTGTCAGTGAGGCAATGGCCCCTGCTCTGCAGAAGTGAGTTGTCATTGCATTTAGGGCCAGCGTCTTGGTGCTTGCATGTGTTATGTGGAAGCATGTGGACACCCAGTATTCCTGGATGGCCACAGCTTTTGAAGGAAACTGGGGTCAGCAGCTGCTGGCTTTCAGCCAACAATGGCTCCTGCCCACTGCCGCTGCATAACCACTGGTGGCAGGCTTCTCTCGACTCAGGCCTGTCCTTGGAGCATGTGCCTGGCGAGTCTCATTGCCATTCCCCTGTGGGTTAGGGACAGGCAGCTGTACCTTCAGTGTCTGTTGCTGAGACAAAGGGAGACATTGAGCACCCCAGAGCCTGGTAGGTTTTCCTTCTTTCCACACTAACTTTTCACCAGAATGACCAGCAAGGTGAATTTCGCTGATCTCACTTTCTCTGTGGTGTTGGGAAGGTGTTGGGATGTTTAGGAGGAGAATGAGCAGCCCAGATTATCTAGCCCAGATGCACTGGCAACGATTCCCCATGTTCTGTTTTCGGGGACAGTGGCCTGGTTGATGCACACAGTCCTGTGGGTCTCATAGGCTCATGAGGAGGGGCTGAGCAGGAGGCTCAGGCCCCCATGGCTGCTGTGGAAGTTCTTCATTGGGCACTGGGGTCAGCTGGACTGGTTTCCAGCTGGCCATGGACAACCTTGGTTTCCTCATCTAGGTAAGAGAGACACTGCCTCACCAGAGTGGGCTGCAAAGGGTGGCAGTGTTGGGTCTCAGCACCACTCCAGCCCCGCTGGGATTCCTATAGTGTTCTTATTATTTGTTTGCTCAGGGCTGAGCTGAGACTGTAGACCTGGAAGAAAGGAAAGCCAGCGTAGGCCTAGAGTCCCCAACCCCAGAGTGCCTCAGCCTTGGGGGCAGTTCCCTAAGGTCCCAGGTTGACCCTGGAGCTACTCTGTACCCTCTGCCCCCAAGTCCCTTGTGGGGCCAGCGCTGCCAAGAATAGAAACCCTTCCCATGGTAGCGGGGAGTACTAGGATTGAGACTTGGGCAAATGTCTACAGAACTGACCTACCCATGGAAATAATGTGGTTATATAAAACTTTGTTTACTTTGGTTTTTTTGTTTGTGTTTTCATATAGATAACAAGAAATCTCAAGCTTCCGTCAGTGGTAAGAGTTTTCTCTTTTGAGTTAAAGTTCCTCCCAACTTTGGATTTGAGGTGGCAAGAATGACATAGTGCATGCCTCATGCGCCTGGGTTAACCTGTCACTAGAGGAGAATGCTTGCAGAGAGAACTCTGGAGGGAGGAGGCTGAGCAGCTATGCCCTGACCTCTCCAGCCTTCATCTTCCTGCAGACTGAAGTCACATGATGCCTCCCATCCTGTTTGACACAAATGCTGCCTTGCCCAGCAAAAAGATAAACACTCACAAAGCTATCAAGACATTAGCTGAAAGCGTTGAGCTCTCTCTCTGGTAGAGAACTATTATGCTGTTTTCTGTATAGTAATATGTAGTAGCATTTTTGAGAAAATGCTGTTAATTCACTTTTTTAAGTTAAAACAAAGTTTCTTTGTAAATTTAGAAATCTGGCTGGATGCTGTGGCTCATGCCTGTAATCCCAACACTTTGGGAGGCTAAGGCGGGCAGAGCACTTGAGGTCAGGAGTTTTGAGACCAGCCTGGCTAACATGGTAAAACCCCATCTCTACTAAAAATATAAAAATGAGCTGGATGTGGTGGCACGCGCTTGTAGTCCCAGCTACTTAGGAGGCTGAAGCACAAGAATTGCTTGAACCTGGGAGATGGAGGTTGCAGTGAGCAGAGATCACGCTACTACACTCCAGCCTGAAAAAAAATAGTTTAGAAATCTGTATTTTAAAATTTCAGGGTTTATCACATAAGGGGAATTCTGTCAATTCAGCCTTAGTCTCTGCTGACTAAGCTGCCAGGGAAGGGGTTTAACAAATCCAGGCTGGCCGACTGCATTCTGCCATCGGGAAGGGAGTGCACTGGCCTCACAGGCCAAACACTGTCTACCCTGCCCTAGGCAATAGAGCTGTAAATGCCAGCTGTCTCTGACTGTGTGGGTCTTACCTCTCAGCCAGAACAGGAATTCTTGGCCAGCTGGGGCTGAGTAGCATCAAGGGCATGTGGCCAGTACATCTGGGGCCCTTGGCATGAGAGCATGGGATCCTGGGCACCACCCAGTTGTGTGACATGGTGGTCCTGCCAGACCAGACCTGTCTGTGTACCCAGCAAAGGCTCTGGCCTTTGCTATTAAGTCCACACTGTTGTGACAATGGCATCCTTGTCTTTGGTTGTGGCATTGCTCACTGAGCTGCTGACCTTGTGGGCTTGGCACCTTTCTCCTCAGTGTTCTGTGGACCCCTCAGCTGTTCTGGCATGGTGGCCCTGCACACAGGGGCCCAGTCTCAGTTGGACTCTGCAACAGCAGGAGTGGAGCTGTGTATGCCTATGGACTCGCGCCATCCCTGGGATAGCATCCCCTGACCACTGTGTTTTCGCTTGCTATGTAGAAAGGCTCATCGTACTTTGTAGGCTCACCTAGCAGGAGGCCTGGACAGCCAGGAGGGGCAGGGGTTGCCGCCTGCCCTCAAGGCTTCAGCCCATCTTTAGTGCACCTGCAGGCATCAGAGAGGTCGTTTGTCTTTTAACATTAGGACCCTGGTCCAGGCCAGTCTAGAGGTGTGGGACATGCTCCTTGTTCTTGAGGAGCTGACTGTCTGGGAGCAGTGACCCACACACCTGGCATTCTTGTCACTTGAATTTGGGAGTCTCCAGGAGTCTAGTCTCTTACTGCTTGGGGCCGTGAAGGGATTGAGCCTGTAGATAGAGAGATCTGTGCTCTGTGAGCCTCACACCCTTTGAGCCATGGCCAGTCCAGTAGGCCCTTTCCTGAGAAGCTCTGCCCTTGTGTTCCCACAGATCCTATGAACGCACTCCAGAGCCTAACTGGCGGACCTGCCGCGGGAGCCGCCGGAATTGGCATGCCTCCTCGGGGCCCGGGACAGTCTCTGGGCGGGATGGGTGGCCTTAGTGCCATGGGACAGCCAATGTCTCTCTCGGGGCAGCCGCCCCCTGGGACCTCGGGGATGGCCCCTCACAACATGGCTGTCGTGTCTACGGCAACTCCACAGAGTGAGTACCACGCTTCCTGGAGGATTTGCCACTTTCTTGCAAGCAACAATAGATTTTATTCCTGTGCTTATGATGGTATCAAGAAAAGCATGAAGGAGCTCCAAATTCCTTTTTTTTTTTTTTTTTTTTTAAATCTTTGTTGTATGTGGAGAGAAAAGGCTTCCAGTCTTCTTTGAGCTCCCAGAAGGGTTAAGTGATCCTGGGCCCTCCTCCTAGCCCTGGGCAAGAGGGTGGGGATGGCCTGACACTCCATACAAGGGTTTGTGTTTCGTGGCTGATAGAGATACAGTGTGTTTCCCGGTGTTCTCAGCCACAAGGCAGGGCTGAATGCCAACACCCACAATTCCACTGTTTGTTTGAGCTCTGGGCACCATCTCTTCTAGTCTGCCCTCGACCCTTGGTCACCCTGGGCATGGCTTGCAGCCATATCATCCTCAGGCTCCCCTCCTGTGAAGGACAGACTGTGTCCTCTCCACGTGGCTTTCCTGGTGGGGAATTGGGCTGTGATCAGATGTTATAGGTGAACCAAAGCTGCTCCCAAGAGGTGGCAAAGAACCTCCCTCTTCTTTCCAGGATCTGTCTTTTCAGATGGGGGTCTCCCTCAAAAGGCTGGAGTGCAATGGCGCAATCACAACTCACTGCAGCCTCGACATCCTGGGTTTATGTGATCCTTAAACTGCGGCCTCCCAAGTAGCTGGGACTACAGGCTCACAGCCCTGCACCCAGCTAATATTTGTATTTTTTGTGGAGATGGGACTTTACCATGTTGCCCAGGCTGGTCTTGAACTCCTGGGCTCAAGCGATCTGCCCATCTTGGCCTCCCAAAGTGTGCCCGCCCTCAGGACCTATCTTATTGTATCTTTGAGTCCCATCAACATTTCTTGGAGTATGCTGTGCCCACTGCAAAGTGCTTTAGTGTTTTTCTTCCTTTTATGTAACCTTTCATTTTTAAAATAGTTGAGGAGTCACAGGAAGTTGGGGAATAGCAGAGAGTTACCACATGCCCTTTACCCAGCTCTCCCCAATAATAATATCTTACATAGAACATTGTCAAAACCAAAATATTGGGGCCATGCAATCATCTCAGAGTCTTAACTTGAATTTCATCAGTTGCTTGTTTTTTTTGAGATGGAGTTTCACTCTTGTTGCCCACTGGAGTGCAATGGCGTGATACTGGCTCATTGTAAACTCTGCCTCCTGGGTTCAAGTGATTCTCCTGCTTCAGCCTCCTTGAGTACCTGAAACTGAGCGCCTGCCACCACATCCAGTTTATTTTGTGTTTTTAGTAGAGATGGGGTTTCACTATGTTGGCCAGGCTGGTCTTGAACTCCTCACCTCAGGTGATGCACCCACCTTGGCCTCCCAAAGTGCTGGGATTACAGGCATGAGCCATCACGCCTGGCCAACTTCATCAGTTTTTATACTCATTCTTGGGCTGCACATACATATATATGTAGGTCTGTGAGATTTTATCACAGGTCAAATCAAGTAACTGTCACCACAATTGGCATTCAGAGCCGTTCCATTACCACCAACCAGCTCTCTTGTGTTACCTCTTGGAAATCATGCCCTCCCTCCAGCCCTAAGCCCTGACAGTTGCTGATTTGTCTTGTATCTCTGTAGTTCTGTGCCTTTGTGAACATTATGTAAATGGAATTGTACCATATGTGACTTTTCGAGATTGGCTTTTTAAACTCAATCTGATACCCTTGAGATCCACCCAGGTTTTATCAGTAATTCATTCCTTTTCATCACTAAGTAGTATTCTGTGGAACCGATTTTCCACAGTTTGCTTATTCATTCACCCTTGAAGGACATTTGGATTTTTTGCTGATTTTGACTACTCTTACACAAATAAAGCTGCTGTGGATATCTGTGTACAAGCTTTGGTGCTTCAGCATATTTTTGTCACACATCCCTCATGATAACCCTATGAAGAGGGCAGCATTACTCCCTCTGCTTTGTCAGTGCAGCAGCTAATGAGACGACCGGAGTTGTACCCCAGGCCAAGAACTGGGATGGAAGCTGCTGCCTAACCCCATCCACACACTCCTGTCCCATCCTGTGTTGCGTTTCCTCTTCTCTGAGGCCACAGACATCCTAATTTCTACCCACTCCTGCTCTAAAATCATTCTCCATCCCCAGTCGCTTTCCCTTCTCATACTTTAATTCTCCTCTTACTTCCTGTCATCTAACTCTCAGCACATGCTGGTTTCCCTGTCCTAGAATAATCCACCTGATTCTTCGTCATTCACCTCTCTTGTCTTAGCACATCGGATATGTACACCAGTTGGGCTTAGGGAGGACCCACAGAAGTGCCGGCTCTTGTTCCTTGTCACGTTCTACTCTTGTGTACTGGGTCCAATTTCTTTTTATCATGAGCTAATATTTGATAATAAGAATTTGTTTTTAAATGTATGAATTTAGAATGCTCACATGAGTTGCCTTGTCATTCCACTCCAGAGGCTTTGTCTTAAACCAGTTCTTTGGGAGAAGTTCAGTGATGAAGCTTGGTATCCTGCCCACAACCTCCCTAGTCTCACCTTGGCCCACATCCTGTTTTTAGCTTCCAAAGGGCCTGGTCTTCTGTGTGGCACTAGGTGAAACAGTGGGTTCTCTACTTCCGCATCTTGCTATACCACCTTTGTTAGAGATGCTCTCTTACTGCCCTTCACCACTTGCCTCCCTTGTCTCCATGAAACAAGTCGTGTTGTCAACCCTGATGGGCATTTGATATCCCTCTCTGACACCCTTCCCAAAGACAGCTGCATAATTAAGGCCCTTTCAGGTCTTCATCCAATGCCACCAAGAGGGCAGAGCCTATGTCAGGTTTTGCAAGGGACTCTCAAAGGGCAGTCCAGGGGACATTGTGATAGTCTTCAGGTGACCTAGGTTAGTCTGAAAAGGCTGAAACTGCTCGCTGTTTCTTTTTCTTTTTCTTTTTCTTTTTTTTTGAGACGGAGTTTCGCTCTTGTTACCCAGGCTGGAGTGCAATGGCGTGATCTTGGCTCACCGCAACCTCTGCCTCCTGGGTTCAGGCAATTCTGCCTCAGCCTCCGGAGTAGCCGGGATTACAGGCATGTGCCACCATGCCCAGCTAATTTTTTTTATTTTTAGTAGAGACGGGTTTCACCAGGTTGACCAAGATGGTCTCGATCTTTTGACCTCATGATCCACCCGCCTCGGCCTCCCAAAGTGCTGGGATTACAGGCTTGAGCCACCGTGCCCGGCCCAACTGCTGGCTGTTTCTATGGCTGGGGCTGCAGTGCAGGGTTGGAAGCATAGCTTTTCACTCTGCATTTTTGTTTCTCAATGAGTTTTATATCATGTGCATGTAAAGCCGACTGTAAAAATAATTTCTACTGCCAACGGTGTGATGGACTGAGTGCTGAGGACACGTCTTCCCCCTAGATAGCTGGGCCTTGGTTACGGTGCACTTTGGATTGCTGTCCTGCAGCGGTGGGGGAGGCTTTGTCCTCCTGAGCCTTGGTTGTTGCAAGGTTGGGGAAAGTAAGCTTAGGATTCCTCTCTTTAGCCAGGATTTATGCTAGGTCTTGTGTCACCCATCAGATGCCCCAGAAGCAGGTCCAGATTGGAGGAACATGTCCCCATTGTAAGGCCTGTGTCAGTTGCACATTAAGGTCAAGCAATGAGCACACAAAGATCACCAGGCATGAAGGGAAGGAGAGACACCATGAAGGAGAACAGGAATAATAGAAAGATGTAGGCATGCTCAATGACCACACATACAGGAGCTGTTAGATACGGGCCATGGGGTATATAAAGAAATAAAGTGGAGAGCTGGGCACAGTGGCTTGCAACTACAGTCCTGGCTACTCAGGAGGCTGAGGCAGAGGATGGCTTGAGGCCAGGAGTTTGAGGCTGTGGTGAGCTGTGATTGCATCACTGCACTCTAGCCTGGGGGACAGAGCGAGACTCCATCTCTGAAAAAATAGAAGACAAAAAGAGCAGAATTTCAAATGAAAAAGCATCATGAGCAGTGATACAGCAGATTTGAAATGAACCAAATGAAAGCTGTAGAAATGAGAAATATAATTACTGAATAAAGAAAGTGGAGGAATAAATAGCCCATTAGATACAGCTGAAGAAAGAATTTGTGTAATAGAAACTACATTTGAAGAAATTACCTAGAATGTAGCACAGAGAAGAGCACATGGAAAATGTGAAAGCAAGAATAAGAAATTTGGATAAGATCAGAAATTCTAATCAGCATCCAAGCAAAGCCCCAAAAGGACCAAATGGCAAGAATGGAAGAAAACAGTATGTGAAGGGATAACTACTGAGAAAAGCCCAGCTGGCACCAAGCAAGTTAACCATCTCATCTGCTGTGAGACTGTAGAACACCGAAGTCCAGAAGAATATCTTGGAAATAGCCAGTTCCTGCAAAGGAGCAGTAAGTACACTCAGCAATGGAGTCAGAAAGATGATAGAATATTGTTGAAGCATTGAGAATAGAGCTGCCAGTCACACTTGTATGCCAGCAAGACTCTTTCAGGGATGCGAAAAGCAAGTCGTTTTTAGATAAACCTAGCCTTAGAGACCTTCACTAAAAGATTTTCTAAAGGATATATCCTTTTATTTCACCTTTTTCCAATAAGCCTTTTGCACTCCTAGATACATTCTTTTGTTTAGCCTCTCTTCCCTCAGGTGATACAAGGTATAAAATGGGAAAAGAAGTGTTAAGCACAGATGATAGTAAATGTGTGTAAATCTAAACCAGTGTTTCTCACCCCGGGTGATGTTGCACCACAGGGATATTTGACAATGTCTGGAGACATTTTGGGATGTCACTACTGTGGGGGTGCTGCTGGTGCATAATGGGTGGAGGCCAGAGAGGCTGCTAACTGTCTTACAAGTACAGGTCAGCCCCACAACATAGAATCATCTGGGTCAAATGTCAGTAGTGAAAGGTTGAAAATCTCTGGTGTAAATAAAAATTTACCTCTGTAAAATAATAATGCTCAAGCTAACCTCCATACAGACTTGTCACATTCCAAGCACTATTTTTATTTCCATTACTATTATATCATTAATAGAGCTAGGGTCTCCTCTTGTTGCCCAGGTTGGTCTCAAATTTCTGAGCACAGGCCATCCACTGCCTCGGCTTTTTAAAGTGCTGGGATTATAGGCATGAGCCACTGCACCCAACCCCAAGTACTATTTTGAGTGTTTTACTTACATAGTAGATTACTTAAATCTTGGTCCAGTGTGTGGAGTAGATACTATTATTGTCTTTTCTAACAGGGAAAACTGAGGCAATGAGCAGTGACAGAGTTGAGGTTTGAGTTCAGGGGGCCTAGCTTAGAGGCTGTATTCCTAACCTCACATCTATCCAGCCTCTTAATAGAATGTCTGCTGTGAAGAGTAACATCAACAAAAAATGAAATAAATGGAATTCAGCAGGGAGATATAGCGTGAATATCTGGTCTGTTGTGTACATGTAAAACCTACTTTAAAAAGTAGTAAATTTGGGAAATGCTAAAATATTGGTAATGTTTATACTTTATGCATGATAAAATTGAAAAATTATTGCTAAAGCAACAGAAGTAATTCATAAAATTTAAAATCAATAGGAAAAATACAATGCAGAGATCCAGCTAATACAGAGGTCAATCCAATCATCCAACAAAAATGCAATAAACGGCCAGGCCTGGTGGCTCACGCCTGTAATCCCAGCACTTTGGGAGGCCGGGGCGGGCAGATCACCTGAGGTCAGGAGTTCAAGACCAGCCTGATCAACATGGAGAAACCTCATCTGTACTAAAAATACAAAATTAGCCGGGTGTGGTGGCGCATGCCTGTAATCCCAGCTACTCGGGAGGCTGAGGCAGGAGAATCTCTTGAACCTAGGAGGCAGAGGTTGCAGTGAGCCGAGATCACACCATTTCACTCCAGCCTGGACAACAAGAGTGAAACTCCATTTCCAAAAAATTAAAATACAATAAGCACAAGGAAGCTTAGAAAAAAGGAAAGACAAATAAAAGTTTAGTCCACTCACACTTATTATGATTACTTATATTATGATTACTTATGAGGCTGAGGGAGGAGGGTCACTCCAGCCCAGGAGGTCAAGGATGCAGTGAGCCATGGTGGTACCACTGTAGTCCAGCCTGGGTAACAGAGAGAGACACCATCACAAAAAAAAAAAAAAAAAACACCCATCAGAATTGCTAAGATGAATAGTGATAGCCTCAAATGTTGGTGACAGAGAAACTGAATCACTCATATATTGCTGGTAAGAATGTAAAGTGATTTTACCTTCTTCCAAAATGAAATATGCAACTTGGCAGTTACACTCTTGGGTATTTTTCATAGAGAAATGAAAACCTTGCATAAAAACCCATGCACAAGGCTGGGCATGGTGGCTCATGCCTGTAATCCCAGTACTTTGGGAGGCTGAGGTGGGAGGATCACCTGAGGTCAGGGGTTCGAGACCAGCGTGACCAATATGGAGAAACCCTGTCTCTACTAAAAATACAAAATTAGCCAGGCATGGGTGGTGGCACGCGCTGTATTCCCAGCTACTCAGGAGTCTGAGGCAGGAGAATCGCTTGAACCCAGGAAGTGGAGGTTGTGGTGAGCCGAGATTGTGCCACTGCACTCCATGCTGGGCAACAAGAGTGAAACTCCATCTCAAAAAAAACACACACAAAAACATCAAAAAACAAACAAACAAACCCATGCATAAATTTTCACAGCAGCTTTATTTGTAGTGGCCCAAATCTGCATTTACCCAGATGTCCTTCAACTTGAATAGTTAAACATACTGTGAGGTGCTTGTACCATGGAATACCCTGGCAATACAAGGAAGGAACTGTTGTTAGAACTACAACCTGTATGGTGAATGTAAAAAGCCAATCCCAAAAAGAAGTTTCATACTGTATGGTTCCATTTTTGAAATATATATAATTTTGAAATGACAAAATTTTAGAAATGAAGGCTGCTACGCTGGTTTCGAGAGTGTGGGTCAGGGTTTCTGAGAAAGGTGGCGACACAAGGAATCCTTGCGGTGTGGGGCTGTGCAGTGTACTGACTCTGGTGGTGACTGAACCCACCCAGGTGGTAAAATTGTCTACTTAGTACACACACCCACACAAGTGAGCATACATAGTGGTTATGATACCTTGTAATTTTGTAGAATGTTATCATTAGAGGAAACTGGGCAAAGTATACAAGGATCTTTTTGTATTTGATACAGCTTTATTGAGACAATTCCATTAGCATACAGTTCACCCATCTGAAGTGCTCCACTTGGCAGGTTTTAGTGTAATTCAGAGTTGTGCAGCCATCATAATTTTAGAACATTTTTTGTGTTCACCCCAAAAGAAACCTCACCCCAGAAAATCTTGTAATTGACTGTTCACATGAGTAGTTTTCATAATAGCCACAAAGTAGAAGCAGCCCAAATGTTCATCAGCTGATGAATGGATAAATAAAACATGGGAAATTGATGTAGTAGAATATTATTTGGTGATAAGAATAACAGAAAAGTTGATACATGCCACGACATGGGTGACTTATAAATGTTATGCTAAAGAAACGTCACGAAAGAGCACATGTCCGATGCCATTTATACAAACAGTCCTGAAGTGGCCAATCCATAGAGACAGAGAGATTACTGGTTGCCAGAGTCTAGGCTTCTTATCTATCCAAAAGACTTAATTGTCCCTTTTCTTTTCTCTTTGGTTATTATAGAGTAACTCAGATAGGAAATTCCAAAATCAACACAAATGCTACTTCGTATTTTCTCTTTCTGTCTGTGGTAAGTGGAACATTCAGATTCCAGTGGCAGCCATGGCAGTGGGGCCTTTGCTGGCTGTTTTGTCCCCTGCTGTGTGGAGCCCTGTGGCGGAGGTTCTGCGGCTTGGACTGACGAGACTCTGGTCTTTTCTCAGCCCAGCTGCAGCTCCAGCAGGTGGCGCTGCAGCAGCAGCAGCAACAGCAGCAGCAGCAGCAGCAGCAGCAGTTCCAGCAGCAGGCGGCGCTGCAGCAGCAGCAGCAGCAGCAGCAGTTCCAGGCTCAGCAGAGTGCCATGCAGCAGCAGTTCCAAGCAGTAGTGCAGCAGCAGCAGCAGCAGCTCCAGCAGCAGCAGCAGCAGCAACAACATCTAATTAAATTGCATCATCAAAATCAGCAACAGGTACCAAGTGCCTTGTTCCTGCTCTTGGCCTCCCTCTGCAGTGTAAGCCCTGGGCTGGCATCAGCCATGGTGCTGGGTGCCCGGAGCCAGCTGAGGGTCCTCTTGACACATGTGTGCCTGCCCTTTTTCATGGGCTTTTTGAAAAGTCTGGAACAGGCAGGAGAAACAGGCCCTGACTCACTAGGAAGGTTCTGCGATCGATCCCTTCCATTCTGGCTTCAGGCATCTGGCTATGGGCCTTCTGTGTGCTTCAGGGGCTGCAAGGGATTCAGACAAGAGTGAGCTGAAGCAAGAAGGAGACAAACACTCTGAGGTTTGGGACTGCTTGAGCCAGTGTGGATCATTTTTGCTGAGGACACATGCGCCTCCTGTTTTCCTCTCTGTCTTGGGGTCTGGGCTCAGTGTTAGTTGACCTCCAGCTGGTGTTCCATGGGATAATGGTGATGTAATATTGGCAACACTGCTTCTCAGAAGCTGTTAAGCTTCCCATGGTTTCCAGTGAGAGTCTAGATGTGTTAAACATCTGTCCTCATAGCAGGTCTTGGTTGGGAAAGGAAAGCCTCAAAGGGCCCCCATAACCCTCCACCCCTTCAGGCCTCAGCTTGCTGGGCTTCTCTGGATCTTGGGGCTCCTGTCCCAGAGCTGACAGTGCATCTGCAGCCACACTTTTCATTCTCATCCTGACAAGCAGACCTTGACCAACACCATGAGGTTCATACCACTGACCTCTAGGGGCAAAGCAAGCACCATTGCAGAGGCTTCAGAAATCTGCATTTTGCCCCAGCTTTTATCCTAGCTTCCATGGAGCTGCTATTAATTGTCACCTTTTGCCTAAGCTTCTAGATATTTCCTTTGAACCATTCTAGGGGAATGGTAGCCAGCCTGTAGTGACCAGAGCCCAGGCACATACTTGATGCCTCCTTGGTGTCAGGAAGGCAGCTGGTGTTGGCCTGGAGGCCCAGAGCCTTTCTATGGAAGGTGTGCTCCTCCCCATGTGAGTGAGAGGTCAGCCCAGGAAGGCCCTTTTTTTTTTTTTTGAGACAGAGTCTTACTCTGTCACCCAGGCTGGAGTGCAGTGGTGCAATCTCAGCTCACTCAAACTGCACCTCTCAGGTTCAAGCAATTCTCCTTCCTCAGCCTCCTGAGTAGCTGGGATTACAGGCCTGCGCCACCATGCCTGGCTAATTTTCGTATTTTTAGTAGAGACGGGGTTTCACCATGTTGGTCAGGCTGGTCTCAAACTCCTGACCTTGTGATCCACCTGCCTCAGCCTCCAAAAGTGCTGAGATTACAGGCATGAGCCACTGCGCCTATCCAGGAAGGCCTTCTTGATGCCTGTGCAGTTGCCTACCTGTGCTTCCTGGGGCCCAGGCTGGCACAGGGAGGAGCTGGTGTCCCAGAGGTGGATGAGTGATAACTGAGTGCTGCTTGTTCTGTCTCTAGATACAGCAGCAGCAACAGCAGCTGCAGCGAATGGCACAGCTGCAGCTCCAGCAGCAGCAGCAGCAGCAACAGCAGCAGCAGCAGCAGCAGCAGCAGGCTTTGCAGGCCCAGCCGCCAATTCAGCAGCCACCGATGCAGCAGCCACAGCCTCCACCCTCCCAGGCCCTGCCCCAGCAGCTGCAGCAGATGCATCATCCACAGCACCACCAGCCACCGCCACAGCCCCAGCAGCCTCCAGTTGCTCAGAACCAACCATCACAACTCCCACCACAGTCACAGACCCAGCCTTTGGTGTCGCAGGCACAAGCTCTCCCTGGACAAATGTTGTATACCCAACCACCACTGAAATTTGTGAGTATCTGGCCTGCAGCTCATGGCTCTGTCAGCAGCAGTTTCTATGCTCTTTGGCTAGAAACAGCATGTCCTATTATTCAAGTGCTAAGACTTCCAGCAGCCTCACCTCTTGCCAGCCCTGCCAACTCTAGTATGGCTCAGCAGGGGAGCATGTGTTTTGTGTTTCATGTTCCAAGAGCTGCATCTGCACCCCATACAGGTTGCTGCTGCTGCTGGGGCAGCAAGTCACATTTCAAGCAGCGTGGCTGATTACAGTAGTGCTGTGGGGCCTTTCAGGGTATGGGTGATTTGACTGATCGGCACCACGTGGAAGGATGTGCCAACTCTATCAGTGTCTGGTGGTTTGCCAACTGTTCAGAGTTACATTCTAAGCAAATATCTTGTTTTCTCTACACTCTGCTAAGTCTCAGGAGAACAAAATTCATTACTATATTTTTGAGGGGAGTATTAACATAAAAGACTGTTATTCCCAGTCTCATTTTGTATCTCTGCACAAAGCCAGTCTAGTCAGTGACACTGGCACAGAGGACAGAGTATTATCACCAGGAGGGAGAGAGCTGTTCCAAGGGGTCTTTTGGACAACTCTTTGGTTCACTTGGTTTTTGTGGCCTTTTCTACTTGTGATTCATTGAGTGGAGTGGGGCCTGAGCCAAGTGTGGGTGGGATGAACAGGAGGCTTCACAGAGGCAGGCTGGAAGTCTAGGCGAGTTGTAAGGAGCAGATATGGTCACTTATCTGTCACGTGGGAGCCAACACACTGACCCCTGGGACTGCGCGGACTGGAACCTTTGTGTGCTGCATGGTGGGGTGTGCCCTGGTGGAGTTTGCCCTGTTGCCTTGGAGATGTCTAAGGAGGAGCCCCCTGCGTGATGGTGCAGGCCTGTCCCTCTGGAGTCCCCTCCATGCAGTGTATTCACAGTTGCCCCTTTTGCCCAAGCTTGCCCCCTCCTTTTTTTTTTTTTTTTTTTTTTTTGGAGACAGGGTCTCTGTCTGTTGTCCATGCTGGAGTGCACTGATGTGATCAGACCTCCCTTGCTCAAGCAATCCTCCTACCTCAGCCTCCCAAGTAGCTAGGGCTATAGGCGTGCATCCCCTCACCCAGCCAAATTTTTGTATATTTTGTAGAGATTGGGTTTGGCCATGTTGCCCAGGTTGGTCTCAATCTCCTGGGCTCAAGCGATCTGCTGGCCTTGACCTTCCAAAATGCTAAGAATACAGACAGGAGCCACTAGACCCTTCCTTCTGCTGGCCGGCCGGTGACCCTGCTTTACTTCAAGGAATCAGGCTGAGTGAGGCTCTTGTGGAGCTTCAGTATGCTTGGCCTAGAGAATGGGCAGGCTAGGCTGTAAGCTCTGCATTGGAAGCTGTCACTGCTTGTGGTGATAGCTGGTGCTGAGGGATATGTGGAGACATGCCAGTGGGAGGGCTGTGCTGCCTCTTGCCAGAGTTGGGTTTGAGCTTACGGGATCCTAAATGGCCAGTGAGGTGACATCACAGCACATGAAGTCGTGAAAGTCCCATTCCCCATCTCCAGAAAGGTTCCATTGCCTAAGCTCCCACAGGAGTGGGCTCTGCTCTTTGCCTCCGGTGGTTCCAAATCACATTCTCTCTTCCTCCCACAAGGTCCGAGCTCCAATGGTGGTACAGCAGCCCCAGGTGCAGCCCCAGGTGCAGCAGCAGACAGCAGTACAGACAGCTCAGACTGCCCAGATGGTGGCTCCCGGAGTGCAGGTGAGGGTCTGGGGGCTGTGGGCTTCATAGTCACCAGCAGGTACATGGTCACCTGTGCATGGTGTGCTACAGTGAGGGTTCTGGTTTGATTAGGTGCTGGGGCTAAGTTGGTAAAACAGGGGCTTTTCTCCCCCTTGCACTCTGTGAGATACCCCTAGAGTCCTTGGGGTGGCCAGCTATGTGTGCTTGGTCATGTTTGGACCCACCAGCTGCATAGTGCATGTTGTTTCTAGCTTTGCTTGGGCATCCTTCATCATCCTTCTTCCCTGCCACTATGAGTGACTCTGGGAATGTGTATCAGAGAGTAGAAGGCTGCAGTTTCATCCTCTCCTCTCACCTTCCATTTGAGAGTCTGAGTACAGAGCGGACCAGGGTGGAGGGCAGCTTTCTAGATGCTCTGAAGCAGATGGGAGCCATATGCAGCAGAGTGAGGGAGAGGGCATCCTGGTGCTCACCTGCACTCAAGGACTCCAGCGCCGTGTGGTGAGAAGTGTGCCGCTCTCATGTTGCTGAGCCTGCTGGTGTGTCACTTGTGTGGAACATGTGTCTCTGTATGTCAAGTGTTAGTGAATGCAGACGGGCTCACCTGGCCTCCTAGTGTCCTGGATTGGAGGCCCAGGATTTCTGTACCTTTTTGGATAGCCCCGCCTCTCCTTGCTGCCACTGAGGCAGGGAGACGTACAGTCTGGGGCTTCAGTTCTTCCTGTTTCCACATGGTGGTGGAAACACTGTTGATCCTGACTTGGATGGGGTGTTGGCTTTAGAAAGAATCAGAATGTGCTAGTTGATGTGGTAAGACTGTGGCTGAGTTTCAGCCCACAGCTGGCAGTGCACCTACACTTTGCTGTCATCTTAAGGGTTCCAGCCACACACCTGGTCTTATGATTTTCTGCAGGCCTGCTGGGTGCAGTGCCTGGGTGTGCAGTGCTGCGTGGCAGGCTGTATCTCACACCTGTGGGTTGCTCCGTAATATCCTTCCTGGTGCCTGCTGCCTCTTTCAGGTCCCTGGGAAGCCACCTGAGGGGGGAATCTGAGGTGTTTGGCTGTAGCTGAGCTTGCATCCTACCTCGGCATGGCACCAAATGACTTGGGCCCAGGGTCCACATGTCACCTTCTTAAATGGAGCCTTGTGTGAAACACACCGCAAAACTCACGTTTACTTACAGCTGAGGGAGGCTGACTACCTTGTATGACGAGGTTGGAGGTCTCTGCCATCTCTCTGTGTGTCTCAGCATGTCTTCAGGCTTCCTGGGGGGCTCCGTTGTCCTGGTCTCTCATGCAGAGGAAGGATGTGGTGTGTGTTCAGAGCCAGCTTGGTGGTGGCACATAGTGACTGCCCAGCCATTGGAAGCCTCTCAGAGTTCTGGTATTACAGGTGTGAGCCATCATGCCCAGCCTAGAACTTACCTTTTCTTTTTTCTTTCTTTCTTTTTTTGTTTGAGAACAGAGTCTTGCTCTGTCACCTAGGCTAGAATGGCTGGAGTGCAGTGGTATAACCTTGGCTCACTACAACCTCCATCTCCCGGTTCAAGTGTTTCTCCTGCCTTAGCCTCCCAAGTAGCTAGGACTACAGGCATGCCACTACACCCGGCTTATTTTATGGTTTTTTGGTTTTTTGGTTTTTTTTTTGTATTTTTAGTAGAGATGGGCAAGTCTGGTCTTAAACTCCTGACTTCGAGTGATCCACCTGCCTCAGCCTCCCAAAATGTTGGGATTACAGGCATGAACCACTGTGCCCAGCCGAACTTTCCTTTTCTTTCCATTTCTTGGTATTTGGAAAGTGAGCATCCATGGAACAGCCAATGTTTTCAGCTGGTGCAGGCCCAGCTGTTATGTTCGTTAGGATTCTAGCTCAAGAAAGTATCCTCCATGCAGCCTTGCTGGCATCCTGTCACCTTCCAGAAGCAGGAGTCGGCTATGTGTGCTCACGGCCCATGCTGAGCCTGTCCTCGGGGTGCTGGTCTTCCTGCCGGTTTTCCCACCCCTTGTTTCAGGTAGAGGTCCTTGCCTGGCTGGCACAGGAAGGAGAATGGAGAGTGGTCACCACTGTGGTTAGTTGCAAAGTGAGTTTGGTGTTTTAAAGAGCGTTGCCCACCTGCCCTGTGGCATCATGTGCTGCCATGCAGGGAATTCCCAAGTACTGGGTGGCAGAGGAGCCTTGTATGTTCTCGAAGTCCAGCAGTGGGTAGGGTGTATCTATGAAGTACTTCTCAGTCCAGATGTGGCACCTTGAGATTCTGTAGCCCACATTCTACTGGTTTTCTCTCAGGGCTTGGTCTTGGCCTTGTTGCAAAGAAGCAGTTTCCTGGGGGCTGATTGGGCGCCCTCACTGCATTGTTCCAGCAATAGCAGCGTCCCCTGCTGGGGGAAGGGGGGTGTTGGGCACAGCAAGCCCTCTGAGGGACTGTCTGGATTCACGATCTTCCTTTGAAACTTAAATTGGGCTGGGCGTGGTGGCTCACGCCTGTAATCCAGGCACTTTGGAGGCCAAGGTGGGTGGATCACCTGAGGTCAGGAGTTCAAGACCAGCCTGACCAACATGGAGAAACCCCGTCTTTATAAAAAAAAAAAAAAAAAAAAGAAAGAAACTTAAATTGGCAGTGACCAGATAAGGCTATCATACTCTGATCCAAAAGCCTTAAAAGTATGTGTGGTAACTGTAGAAGCCAGAAAGTAGAGAGAAATAGAAGAGAACCATTCCATGAGACAGAAGGTCTGGTGTCCTTTCTGGTTCTTTCCCTTAGTCAAGGCCATGCTATCCTGAGGTTTTGTGCAGTATCTTCCACGTCAACATGGAATGAAATGTCCTTCCTCCTCTAATTAGCAAGCCCTGGCTGACACCAAGGGACTCTGTCGTACTCCTCTGGAATGTCTCCTGCCATCTACCATCTTTTTCTTGGATCTTGAGATAATTTCCCATTTTTTTGCTATTACCAGTGACGCATATCTTGATGTCCTAGATTGTTCCTAGGTTGTTCCTGAAGCTGATCAGAAGTGAGTGACTGGTTCACTTTGAGGGCCTTCTGATCCGATCACCTGCCATCTAATGAGAAGGTCAGAGATGCAGATTGGAGCTCCCTTCGTGGTGCTCACACCTCATGGTGCTCACACAGTGAACATCAGGACGTGGTGACCATGTGTTGCAGCTTTGTGTGAGCTGCTGCTGTGTGCTGCAGAACCAAGCCTCTGAGTTCATGAATGAAATTCTGGGATTAGGGCCCCAGTGCAGGCAGCCTTCCATGCCCTGACACTCAGGTCTGCCCTCTGAGAGCCGAAGAGAGGTGCCCTGTCAGGCCTTTGCAGTTCTGTGGTGATGGATGTGGTAAATGGTAGCCTGGGACTAAGTATTCTAGAAAAATTGCTCAGCCTGTATTGTGCACACCTGGTTCTCTTTCCAGTGTTATTTATGTAGCTGAGAAGGGTGATGTCACTCACCAGGAGATTTAGCAGGACACAGCAGACTTCTCTTTCTTCCCTATAAAACCAACACAGGCCAGGCACAGTGGCTCATGCCTGTAATCCCAACACTTTGGGAAGCCAAGGTGAGAGGATCAGTTGAGACCCAGGAGTTCAAAACTATCCTGGGCAACACAGTGAGACCCTGTCTTTACAAAAAAATAAAAAGTTAGCTGGGCACAGTGGTGCATGTCTATAGTCCCAGCTACTCGGGAGGCTGAAGTGGGAGGAACACAAAGCCCAGAGGTTTGAGGCTGCAGTGAGCCTTGATGACAGCATTGTACTCCAGCCTGGGAGACAGAGCAAGACTCTTGTGTCTTTAAAAAAGCAAAAAGCAGGACAGAATGCATCTCATTTTCTTTTCTTTTTTTTTGAGATGGAGCCTTGCTCTGTTGCCCAGGCTGGAGTGCAGTGGTACGATCTTGGCTCACTGCAACCTCCACCTTCTGGGTTCAAGCGATTCTCCTGCCTTAGCTTCAGTAGCTGGGATTACAGGTATGCACCACCACACCTGGCTAATATTTGTATTTTTAGTAGAGACAGTGTTTGGTCATGTTGGCCGGGCTGTTCTCAAGCTCTTGGCCTCAAGAGGTGTGTCCACTTCGGCCTACCAAAGTGCAGGAATTACAGGCGCGAGCCACTGTGCCTGGTCATGCATCTCATTTTCAAATGGTCCATATACTTTTATCGTTTAGCTTTCTATTCCTGTAGTATGTGAAACAGAGCTCTAATTTACAAGTCACAAAGAATTATCATCCAGACTCCCATTATGGATGTGGCATTACTGATTCACAGCTGCCCTATTGGAGCCTTGGCCGCCCTGGAGGACCTTCTCTTTTTTCTGTGGACCCTTCTGCACAGCAGCTACAGTGGGGAGAGTCAGACCTGGGGGTGGGGGAGAGGTTTTTTGGATTCCTCTATGGGTGTTAGGAAGTAGTAAAATGTCATCACTTAATAGTGAGTCCTGGGTGGCAGCTGCCTCACTCATCTGATCCATTTGTGTTGGCATTTGTAGTTGAAAGAAACTGGGCTTTCCTTGTCAGGAGTTCTCAGTAGCAAGGACGTCAGTCAGCAGTATATTAGACTTAAGCTTTGCATACCTTGTGTTTTTTTGTTTTTCTCTTCCTGGAAAAAAGTTTGCTTCTCTCATACCATCTGACTTACTTCCAGGCCTTTCTCCCTTGTGGAACGAGTGCTGTTGAGCACTGCTGCACTCTCAGAAGGGCTCCTCCGAAGTGCTGCAGGTAGTGGTAAATAGACTTTTACCCCATTGGGATTGCTTCTTTATGTTTCTCACCCCCAGGAAGTTCATTTGTTGCTCTGGCTGCAGGAATGAGTGAGGTTCTGGTTGGCATCTGCTGTGCCGCGTCACTCCCGGCTTCTGGTGCCTCCTGTGTGTGCCCATGGTTGTGAGTGTGGGCCACATGTGTGAGGCCATGGTTCCCTGCAACCACTCTCCAGCTGGCACCTATTACTGTTACTGCCACCTGTCGCTGCCTGCGCGGAAGGCTGGCAGCACCTCCTGGAGCTTGGGACCCAGCATACAGCCTCCCACCATGAGATGTGTTGTTATTCCATGGATCAGTCCTGCTTTCTTTCTGAGCCTGACGTGTTTTGTTCTAGTTTGTAACTATCCTAAGAGCCTGCAGGCCCTGCTTTTCAGGGATGAGACTCAGGCCCTATCCCCAAATCAGAGCCCAGAGAAAGAGTGGTCAGGCCTGGGTCCACAACAGTGCTCCGCTGCCCTGCTGCCTTTGTAGTTCGAGAGGTGTGCACTGATGAGGGAAATGGTCCTGGCTCACGCTGGAGTTCCTGACTCGCATCCCTGTGGAGGTGAACTTCCTCACCAGGGAGGAGGCCGGCCAAGGGTTCCCTCAGGCTTCTCTTGCTCACCTTTGCCCATTTTTATTAAAACCAGTTCTTCAGTAGATACTAGGACCAGCAGCCTCAGAGAGGCCTAGAGGAGGAGATGAGGATGGTTTGGGTTCAGGCTGTAAGAGATGTGCCACTGAGAAGGAAGGATGCTGTGAGTAAGCTTACCTGAGCTCACTGTTCAGTGGCAGTCAAGTGTTCTCATCACAAGCTTTGGTGGAATGTACTCTTTTGACGTCTGTCCGCAGGAGCCTGGTCTCCCAGAAACACCAGCCCAGGCCCTCAAGTTCTGGCTCTGATGGTTCTGTGGGCTGTAGGATTCTGCTCTGTTAGCAACGTGTGTTCAGAGGTGTGTTAAAGACACCAGTGTAGGAGAGCAGCCAGTAGAATAGAAAGGTCTGGAAGCAGCATTCTCGGCAACTCTTCTAGATTCCGAATGCCCAGACAGACCTGGAGGTGCTATGGGCTTGAACATGTGGGCGGCCTGCCTTTCCAGGCTGCCCCGAGCTGCCCAACGGTCCCTCGCCCTGGTGCTCCTTCTTGCAGAGGCTACACACGCCCTCTCCACCTGCCCAGGCGCTGAGTTTCTTTGTTGCGATCACCTTGTCTGTTGTCCCTCTGTCCTCAAAGATGATCACGGAAGCCTTGGCCCAAGGTGGGATGCACGTAAGAGCCCGGTTCCCGCCCACCACTGCTGTGTCCGCCATCCCGTCAAGCTCCATCCCTTTGGGCAGACAGCCCATGGCACAGGTATTTACGGGGCAGCGCCCAGGGCATGGCTGGGAGCTCGGGGCGTCCTCTGAGCGCCTTTGTAAAGCACACCTGTCATTATCATCGCCGGTGACTTCCTTTGATGGTGGCTTTCAGAGTGCCAAACCCATAGTCACTTTTTTTCTTAAATGAAGACAAGCCCATCTTGTGCTTCTTGAGAGGATGTGAATAAATATCTGGATCTTTTCAGCTTAAAATAGTTAGGCTGCAAGGCATTTTCAGGGTAAAAATAAAACAGAAGCTAAAGCAAAAGTTTTGCTTTTTAGAGCTATGCTATCTAATAGTGTAGCCACTAAGCATGTGTGGCTATTTCCATTTAAATTAACTAAAATTAGGCTGGGCACGGGGGCTCATGCCTCTAATTCCAACACCTCAGGAGGCCGAGATGGGAGGATCACTTGAGGCCAGGATTTTGAGAGTTTGAGACCAGCCTGGTCCACATAGCGACACACTATCTCTAATTAAAAAAAAAAAAAGTGTGTGTGTGTGTGTGTGTGGGTATGTGTGTGTATTGAAAACAAAACTCTAAAACTCAGCTAAAATTAGGTAAAATGAAAAATGCAGTTCCTTAGTCCCACCAAATACATTTCAAGCCCTTATTTGCCCACAGGGAAGCTAGTGGCTGCTGCAGTGGACAGCACAGACTCCAGAACGTGGCTATTGTGGCCAGAGTGGCATTGGGCCGTGCTGTTGTAGAGTTTGCCGTGTAGAGTGTGTAATTTGTAACACACATCCCCACTAGGTAGAGGTAGACTTCTGTGTACATTATGCTTTTCAGGGATATGAATTCCTGGATCTCATATGAAATTTGGAATTATTCCATGGTATAGTGTTTAACAAATAGTTACCACATGCATTTTGTGTGCCAGGCACTGTGCTAAGATTCTGAAAATAAAATGATGCTGAAGTTCTCTAATCGTACAGGCTTTCTGTTTTAGTGGGTTTGTTGTGAAAACCTCAAATTTGCCAAAATAACTTTACAATTCAGTTTCTGTTTTAGGGGAAATGCTTCTATAATCCTAGCAGACATGGTCCCTGCCTATCCCTGAATGCCCATGTGCAGGCACCTCTGCAGCTCCGTTCTACAGAGGAAGGAGTGGAGGCTGAGCCAGGATGACCCTTTGTCCATGTGGCCTCAAGCCTGGTGCCACACACCTCACACTGCCAAAAGAGTGGCCTGGGCCCCCATTCAGGGCATGTTCAGTTTGCCCTCCCCTGTATACTAACTAACCCGTTGGGTTACCCCAGATGTGCCATTTACATAGTTACTGACTGGAATTTACCTTCTTTGGCAGGGACCTCCCTTTTGGTAGTTTTTGATTTGCAGGAGGTGGAAGTGCCTAGAATCTGCTGGTAGAAAGGCTTTGGTGAAAGAGCTTTCTAGAGGAGCAGAAGTTGAGGGTGAGGAAGTAGGTTGTGTGGCTGTGGTGGAAAGGAGGCCAGTGTGGGTAGAGGCCAGGGTGAGTTCCTTATGGCCTAGAGGCTGTGAGCTCCACGACCTGCTCACATGCTGCTAGTGTCTCCTTGACTAGACTCCTTTGGGTTCTGCGCTCTGTCTGCTAGAACTGCTATTCTTCCTTTCTCATAGCCTCTGGCTCAGTAGCCACTGGGTTCACAGAGTGAGGTTGGCATGTATGTGGAGGAATGACTTTAGTAGCAGTGTGTAGGACTGACTTTTATAAACACAAAAGGTCCCCAATGTTCTCAGTGTGTGATACATGCCAGGCCTTGAGCTAAGCTCTGTGTACAGAGCCTCACTGTTTCTTGTGGCAGCAGGTTGTAGTTCGAGCATAAAGCCCCTTTTACAGACTGAGAGTGCCCCCAGGGAGCCACCAAGTCAGGATCAAGGGCTCAAATGAAACCCTTCCCCCTGGCCTCTCAGCAGGATTCTTCTGGAATCTGGACTTCTGAAATTCTTCCTGCTGGGCCGATGACCTGGCTCCTCCTTTTGGTTTGCTGGGCACTCTTGGGTGGGCTTCCCCCATCCCCCGACAAGGCCATGCTCTGTCCTGGGCCTTGGCTTGCCTATGCTCTTGTGCACTGCCCACTCCCCACAGCCAGCTGCTGTCGTTTCCATCTGGGCTTTTCACAGATAGCCCCTCCCTTCTTCCCACCAGTTCCCAAACCCACTCAGTCTCTTTCTCCCCAACCTTCCCTGGCCCCTTAGATTAAGTTTGCCCTGAGTTATGCCGGCTAATAGGTCTCTCTCTAGAAGCTTCCAACCCCCAAAGGCAAGGAGGTTAGAGGGAGCAGAAGAAGGATAGAGAAATACATGATGAAGCTGAAAAAGTTAGTGCCTTGTAATAAATGCCATGGAGAATCCTGGTTTGTCCTCATTGCACTGTGTGGGGGAGTGAGAGCGCTGTCATGCGAAGATGCCGGCTAACTGCACACAGATTTAGTCACCAGGTTCTGCCTGTTTACGCTGGCAGTGAGGAGCATACCCCTGAACCTTTGGGGTTGGTTCACTGAGGACAAATGAGACAGTATTTAGAAAGTATTCCTTGTCCTGGCAGTAGGCAAAAGCCACAGGATTTCTGGAAAGAGGAAGGAAGACAGAACTGGGGCAAGGTTCTGGTTTTGTTCTTTTTTGTTTGTTCGAGATGGAGTCTTGCTTCTGTTCCCCAGGCTGGAGTGCAATGGTGCGATCTTGGCTGACTGCAACCTCCACCTCCTGGCTTCAGGCGATTCTCCTGCCTCAGCCTCCCGAACAGCTAGGACTATAAAGTGCCTGCCACCATCCCTGGCTGATTTTCATATTTTTAGTAGAGATGGGGTTTCACCACGTTGGCCAGGCTGGTCTCGAACTCCTGACCTCAGATGGTTTACCCACTTTGGCCTTTCAAAGTGCTGGAGTTATAGGTGTGAGCTACCACACCCAGTCTTGTTCTCTGTTGTTTTTTAAAGCAGGTTTGTTCATGCTTGTCAGCTGCAAGAAAGGAAATCCTGGCAGGAGTTTAGGGAGCAAGAAAAGCCAATGGAGGGACACCCTAGAGTGGAGGCCTCCCTACTGCCCAGGCGGCTGCTCTGCAGCCCTCTCTAGTCCTGGCCTTTCCTGCAGAGGACTCTCCCCCAGGCCAGCTCTCTATGATGGGCCGGAACACCAGGCTCCCTGGCACAGCTTCCCACACTTGGCTGTGGGCCAGCCTTGGGGATGTGAGGCTTGCTGGGCCCCGTGAACCAAAGGTATTGACCTGCCCACACCGGCTAGCTGCAGAGTGCTGCTTTTGTATTATTATCTTTCGATCCAGTCCCTTTTGAGAAGAGAGCGCTAATTCCAGGAGCGTTATCTGTTGTCTTCACCAGGAGTTGCCCCACTGTGTCCCATCTGAGCTCTCAGGAGCCAGAACCTACTGACTATGGTGTGTCCAGGTGGTGGTCCTATGGCCACTGTTCTCCCCAGCCACCTGCCCTCAGCAGTCAACAGGATGCAGTCTGGTGTCCACACTGCCTATCTGCTCTTGTTCTTTCCTTATGGCAGCAAATTGGGTCCAAGAAAACAGATGGAACTGAACGAGTGGGAACGTACATGCCCCATGGGCTCTTCTCCAGAGGGCTTGCAGGGCCCAGGCTCCCTCCCCACTCCTGACAGCCCATGACTGCATCTTCCTGTTACAGTGGGCGCATCTCACGGACTCAGGCTACCAAATCCAAGCAGGATTCTGTGCTGGGTGCATGCTGGACCACGGTGCCCAGCACGGTGTCCAGGGGGTAGCATAGCCCATGCCACAGTGCTCCCTTGGCAGGTATAAGCAGGCGGCGCCTTCCCCACTAGGGACTCGTCCTTTGACTGGAGAGGCACTGTTGCCTTCTCCTTCCCTGCTCCAATCCCAGACCTGACACAAGCCCAAGGGCTGGAAGTTTCTTCCTCCCCTCTCTGGCTGCCTCCGTTGAGTCAGTTCTGTCTTCAGATGAGTCTTTGAGGGGCCGCTTCTCATCCCAGGTGCTGGACTCGGACTGCCCTCCATTGACACCTGGGCACAGGGCCTGGTTTCCTGCTCTCATGGTCTTGGAAATGAAAGGGTGCCCTTTGTTTTTCTTCCCACTGGAAGTCTCCCTGCCTCCCATCCTCAGGGCTCTGCTGGCTGCTGGGGCAGCTGAAGAGCTGAGATAGACCTAAGTGCTGGGTGGGTGCCTGGTGGCCCCAAGGGTGTGGGTGATGAGACTGCTGCTTCAGGTCCTGAGTGGGTGCTGGGCTTCCTGAGGTTCAAGAGCAGATGAGAACTCTCGGGTGGCAGTGAAGGCTGTGTGGTTGCCTTCCCTGCTATGGCCTCTGCCCAGCCTGCAGCTGCCTTGCTCCTCAGAGAAGCACCGAGCTTTAGGCAGTAGACAAGAGCTGACCGTCTCCTAGAAGGGGCACCTGCTCAAGCACAGGTGCCTTTCTGAAAGAGGTGGTCAGGGAGAGGCAAGGGGAGGGGTGCAAGCAGGAAGAGGGGTGAGCTGTGAGACAGCTTTCTGGGGTACAGGTAGAGAGCAGCAGCAAGTTAGGCATGGTTCAGGGAAAGGGAAAGCGGTGACGGGGCTGCTGGGGGCTTTAGGAGGGACCCCACCACAGGGCAGGCTGTGCTCCACAGGATTGGGCTGGGCATGGGGCCCCAGAGTCTTTGCTTCCCACTCCCCGGTGCCGTCTGTGGTTCTCTATGGAATTTTCTGGCCTTAGGATTTTGTTGACACCTGGATGAGTCTAGAACATGTGTTCCAGTGTCTGGGACATGCCCTCACTCCCCTTCAGCCAGGGTTCTGTGCACCCCAGCACCGTGAATGCACAGTACTTGGGTGTGAGAAACCTGCTGTACTTGTTCAACTCAGTATTTAGCAAATGAAGTAACACCGGTTCCCGTTTCTGACCTTGCTAACCTCAGTGAGAATCACTTTGAGCCATTTTGCTTCACTCTGTAGAGTGATGAGGCCCGGCAGGCCAAGGCTAGGGGCTCCTGCACTCTGCCCCTCCTCTCCCAGGCAGGAATGTCTTGACCACAAAGCAGTGGGAACAGTTCATTCCATCAGTTGATGACCACTGGGCCAGTGGCTTTGCATAGGGACCTCTGACCCAGCTGTGCTGAAAGTGCCCTGCTCTGGTCACACCCTGTGCCTTAGCCCTCCACCCCTTGGTCTCCCAGCACATGTGGCTCAGGAGCAGCCTGCACCCAGCATCCTGTGCAGTGCTGTCAGGCACACCCCATGGAACAGGCAAGACAGAGCATTTCACTTTGGATAGGAGCTTGGTCCAGGTGGTGCTGAAAGGGCATAGCCACCCTGCCTTCCACTGCCTGGTGGGGTGGGGAGGAGGGCATTCTGTTTGTGGGCTCTGGGCCTGGGCCCCAATTTGAGGAGCTGAGAAAGTAGCAGTCCTATCCCAGTACTCACAGCACTGTGGCAGAGGTGCTTGGGGTGGTGTGAGCCGTGGCCCTAGGCAGGCTTTCATGTCCAGAGTGCCCCTGGAGAAGCACTGAGTTGGTCTACAGAAATGGATGGTCCGGGGGCTGAGCTCCTAGGAAGCAGGTTATAAGGGGATGCTTGGCATGCAGGGGGTTGACTAGGGTGTGGGAAATGCCACCAGAGGCCCTTGGGGGCCTTCAGGGTGCCCCCAGTGTGGCAAGGGGTTGGGACTTCATGCCACCATTACCAGCACTGGGCAAGGCAGCCCTCTGTTGAGAGTCCCTGTAGGGGAGGACAGACGCCCAGGGCTGGCAGACAGCTGTCCTCCCCGTCAAAGCCGCCATCTGTGCTCTACCCCAGGAGGGTGTGGGTGTTTCACACATGCTTGTCTCTGGTGCCTGAGTGGTGTGGTTTCATCCCTAGAGTTTACAGATGAAGACAGTGGTATCCCTGGTGTGGACACTGGGGTGGTCGATCTTATTTGTGTTGGGCCCAGCAAGGCCTGGGGAGCAGAGCAGCAGCCTTGCTCTGCAGACTCTGCAGACACACAGGGCCTCAGAGGACTCAGGTGCACACCTGCATGGCAGAACCAAGCTCTGGGTCCAGGTGTCTTTGGCACTGAGTAGCTCACCTCTCCTAGGTGCGCTCATGTGGGCTGATGCAAGTGCCACCATAGGTGTGTGGGTGGCTCCCTGGTCCACCTTGCTCCAATTAAGTAGGTCCAGGTGGGACAGCGTGGGACCAGCCCTGCAACTGCATGTTTAACCACAACAGATGGCCATGGCCACTGGGCTTTTCCTTGGTGCAGTCAGCCTGGGGGCTGTAGGGGCTCGTGGAAGCATGCGGGAAGACGGTCCCACTGGTCAGCAGAGCAGGGTCCTCACCAACCCACAGAGCAGCGTGTCATAGCATAGACAGGCGTGGCAGGGAAGGCCAGGCCAAGGGTATTGCCTCCCAGACTGCCCTTTTCCTTACACTCCCACGTCACAGCCCCAAAGCCTATGTCCTTGTGGGCCCCTGGTCAAGGAGCAAGGGCTTCCCTGCTTGGGTCCCCCTGCCAGCCTCTTGGTCACCTCATGCTGTGTGCCAGGCTGGGGGAGTGTGCCTGTGTGTGTGTCCAGGTGGCATCTGGATGAAGACACAGGTGTGTGGTGAGGCTGTGCGGGAGGACGAGCCTGTGCGTGCGGTGGGCAGGTGGTGTGGAGGCGGGCGGGCGTGTGGTATCGCGCCGGCTGAGCCCCTCCGCTTCCAGGTCAGCCAGAGCAGCCTCCCCATGCTGTCCTCGCCATCGCCGGGCCAGCAGGTGCAGACCCCGCAGTCGATGCCCCCTCCCCCTCAGCCGTCCCCGCAGCCTGGCCAGCCTGGCTCACAGCCCAACTCCAACGTCAGGTAGGCCTGGCCTGGGGTGCCCTCCCCGCCTGGCCCTTTGAGGCTGCCCTGCCTGGATCCGGCTCACATGTTTCTTTCACTTGGCTGCAGCTCCGGCCCTGCCCCATCCCCCAGTAGCTTCCTGCCCAGCCCCTCACCACAGCCCTCCCAGAGCCCAGTGACAGCACGGACCCCACAGAACTTCAGTGTTCCCTCACCTGGACCTTTAAACACACCTGGTAAGTTGGGCCTGGGGTCTATGGCCCCATCATGTGACCTGTACTCGGCCTGGCAGGTTGAGGTGCTGAGATCACTCCTCACCTTTATGAGGCCTCAGCCTGTAACGGGTGTGCGAGTTCTGGGGCCCTCAGAGCTCAAGCTCCCCAACTGAGGGTCGAGGGCTGTGGCCTCACCCGCCTGTGTCCTGCAGTGAACCCCAGCTCTGTCATGAGCCCAGCTGGCTCCAGTCAGGCTGAGGAGCAGCAGTACCTGGACAAGCTGAAGCAGCTGTCCAAGTACATCGAGCCCCTGCGCCGCATGATCAACAAGATCGACAAGAACGAAGGTGGGCTGGGGCCAGGGCAGGGGCTGGCACCCTGGGGATACATTGGGGCTTGCGTCTTAGTGTACCCTCTTCTGTCCAGACAGAAAAAAGGACCTGAGTAAGATGAAGAGCCTTCTGGACATTCTGACAGACCCTTCGAAACGGTAAGCTTTGCCCACAGCCACTGGAGGGTCCACAGGGTCATGGGTGGCCCAGGCATGGATGGATACTTGGTAATGATGTGGGTTTAGCAAGGGCACCGGCAGCTCTTTGGGCCCTTGCCAGAGGCCTCCAAGGCCCCACTCTGGTGTGTGCTGGGGCTTCTAGCCCAGGCTTCCTCTTAGCTGGTGCCCAGCCTTTGCCCTACTCCTGGCTGCTGCTGCAGTCCTCATACTGGGCCATCAGAGCCAGAACTCATCCAGCCAGCAGCCAGGGGCCCAGCTTGCAATGGCCTGACCATTAGCTGGCCATGGTGGGCCTGAGGCTGCCCTGGACTTCTGCCTCTGACTTGCCAGTGACCATGGGCAGGTGACTGCATCTCAGTTACCCCATTTGTAGCCCGTGTGTGCTGTCATGAAAATGAAACAAGATGGTGCTGGTAGGAAGCAGGTGGAAGGCAGGCCCACCGGCCATGGCCTGCTGTGAGGATCAGAGCTTGGCCAGCACCTCACAACAGCATGGGCATTGGCATATACCTCCCTCTCATCTCAACTCTGGCTCTTCCCCACCCCTGTCTAGAACGGTCTCTAGTTCTGCTTGTCTGAATAGAATGCCAGTCACTATTGGGTGGTCCTCCAAGCCTCTGTGAGTTGATCCTTTGTTAGGGTTATAGGGCTGAACAGGGCAGGGACTGGCTTACATGAGAATGAGGCCTTCCCCAGCCTGGTCAGAGGCCTGGCCACTGCCCCTTCTCTTGACCCATGGCCTCACTCTGCTAACCAGAGGCAAGTAGCTCCTGGGGGTGAGGGCTGCCTGCCTTAGACTCTGGGTCTGGGAACAGCTGGTCAGCTGCTCCTGCAGAGGTTTCTAAGATGGCCGAGGCCCAGTGGCAGTGGTTGGGATCCCAGATCCAAGCCTGAGAGTTGCCATTTCTCCCACCCTTCCAGCACAGAGGTCAGCCCAAGTCCCCTCTCTCTGCAGGTGTCCCCTGAAGACCTTACAAAAGTGTGAGATTGCCCTGGAGAAACTCAAGAATGACATGGCAGTGGTGAGTGGGCTGCCAGGCACCCCTGGGGGAACCAGGGCTCCCCAAAGAGCTTCTGGGAGCGCCACTGGGAGGGGCCTTCAAGATCAGGGTGACTGGGTGGGGGCTTGGCCTGACCTTGGACCCTGCCCACCAGGCTTCCAGGCCAGGTCTGCTGTGCTGGGTTGGAATGTGGGATAAGTCACCCTCTGTCTACGGCCCCTATGGGTGGCTCTACCACCTGGTGCACAGGGGGCAGGGACTCTGGGGAGGCTGTGGGGGTAGGGGATTATTCCCAGGATCAGCCAACATTGTCTGCACAAGGGTGGAGGCTGTGAGAGAGGCCTTGGGAATCTGGCTGTGAGTGACGATGGTGCTGGGATGGGAAGCCCCCTAAATGGGGAACCCTCAGGTCCCAGGCTGCTGACCATGCCCATTCTGCCTCCAGCCCACTCCCCCACCACCCCCGGTGCCACCGACCAAACAGCAGTACCTATGCCAGCCGCTCCTGGATGCCGTCCTGGCCAACATCCGCTCACCCGTCTTCAACCATTCCCTGTACCGCACGTTCGTTCCGGCCATGACCGCCATTCACGGCCCACCCATCACGTACGTCCAGCTGGGCTGGGCTTTGCGGAGGGCGGCCAGCCCTGGGCCATGTATGCCCAGTGTGGTCACCGTTCTGCCTCCCCCAGGGCCCCAGTGGTGTGCACCCGGAAGCGGAGGCTTGAGGATGATGAGCGGCAGAGCATCCCCAGCGTGCTCCAGGGTGAGGTAGCCAGGCTGGACCCCAAGTTCTTGGTAAACCTGGACCCTTCTCACTGCAGCAACAATGGCACTGTCCACCTGATCTGCAAACTGGGTGAGTGTCCAGGAGGGCCACGGCTGGCATGGGAGAGCAAGCCATGACCACAGCCCCGTCAGAGCCAGAGGGCACAGTGCCCAGAACCCACCCTGTGTTCATGTCCTGCCAGGCCCACTGTGTCCTCACACATGGCCTGGGCATGCCTCAGTCCCCGCTGCCAGAGCCCACACACCCTCACCTCCTCAACACACATGTGGCTCTGCTTGCCTGGGGCCCTTGGGGAGGTGGTAGGCAGGACCTCCAGACACCCATCTACACAGGCAGTCTAGGTTTCACGTTTGGAAATCTGAGAGTCAGAGAGAACTCCAAACTTTGCTGCAAGCCTCACCAGAACCTTCCAGGATGTGAAAAGTCCTGTTCCAGAGCAGGGCTTTGAGGCAGGGCAGGCCGGGGCTTGTCCAGGTCACAGATTCAGCCTTCTGTGTTGCAGATGACAAGGACCTCCCGAGTGTGCCACCACTGGAGCTCAGTGTGCCTGCTGACTATCCTGCCCAAAGCCCGCTGTGGATTGACCGGCAGTGGCAATACGGTGGGTAGACCCAGAGGAGCTGTCTGGAGGCCCAGGGCAGGCAGGGGTCATTGTGGAAAACCAGGCCTCCAGTGCAGCATGGACAGCCTCTGCACTCCTGCCCCTCCCTAGCTCAAGCCCCTCTCTCCCGTCTTCTGGCTCCCCCTGCACAGACAGGAGCGGGTTATGCAGTGGTCATCTGAGAAAGAAGGTCTCTGCTCCCACTGTGTCCCTTCAGCCCCTTCATCTTGTGTCAGGTCAGCTGTCCAGGGTGGTCATATTCAGTGGGTAAGGGTTGAGTAAGCCCACAGCTCAAGGACAGACCCTGCTCTTCCCAGAGGCCACTGGGGAGCTTGGTGGGGATCATGGATCCCACCAGTAGCTTGGCCTTACCGGGCCCCATCTGGGTATTGTGGCTCCAGAGACCACAGTGGCAGGGGGCAGTCTGAGCCCGGAGGTGGCACACAGCAGAGCTGGGCTGGGTCCCCAGGGTTGTTAGAGGCAGAGCCTTGGGCTCTAGATCCTGTTGGGATTCAGTTCTTCACTGACATTGAGGCTCTGGGAGGAGAGCCTGAAGGCCGGGCAGTGTGCAGGACATCACCTTCCTGTGCTTCGGCCCAAGGCTGGGGCCTCCCTTTCCCAGAGCATTGCTGAGTGCGTGGGGTGTGGGTGCAGCGTTGGCCACCTTAGGCTCACGCCTGCTGTTCTGTTGCAGATGCCAACCCCTTCCTCCAGTCAGTGCACCGCTGCATGACATCCAGGCTGCTGCAGCTCCCGGACAAGCACTCGGTCACTGCCTTGCTCAACACCTGGGCCCAGAGTGTCCACCAGGCCTGCCTCTCAGCTGCCTAGCCAAGACTGCAGGGATGGCCCGTGGCCTCATTGGGGGCAAGGACACAACGCCTCCTCTCAGACACTTCTAGGTGTTGGCTTCCTTAGAGAGCCTGGGGTTAAGTTAGCTTTCCTGCTTTTATCTTCTCCCTTGGGGACCTGCCAAATGAAATTCCACACCTGTACAGAACTGAGATGGGAGCAGTGGAGCGGGCTGCTTAGGGGGTGTTGGCTGACTTCTCAGAGAAGGCCCTCCATGTGACTTCTTCTAGGGAGCCAGATATGATCCTTGGGTTGCTCTCACTGTGGCCTGTCCAGGGTCCAGGTCCATCGCAGCAGCGTGAGGGTGCACTCAGGTTGTTCTTAGAGCGTCTTGTGTGCGCTAGACACACCCCTGCTTGTTTGTATAGGAGAACACAGAGGACGTAGGAAACCCTTAAAACGCACATGGGATTCTCTGGTCAGTTTTGAGTTTAGGCTACGCTGCTTTTGGCAAGTGGGGCACACCCCCGGGGAAGCCTCTGAGTCCAGGGCAACAGGCTGCCTTTTGGAGGGAGGGCTGGCCCATGGGTGCTGATGGCTCCCCGCCACCAGCTGGGCCTCAGCCCTCATGGCATTCCTGCTAAGCACTGTGGGCACCCTGGGAGCAGGGACGTCGGGGATCCTGTTCCCAGCACCTCTGTGCCACTCACATGAGGGCTGTGTCCCCACTGCGAAGGATGAAGAGCAAGACCCTCAGGACCTGCATCCTCAGAGCACCACACACTGCGCCACCCAGAGAGAGCGGGCCTGTCAGCGGGCCAGGGCCATGCAGGGAGTGCCTCCCTGTGTTGCCTGCCACTCTGGGCACTGGCCAGCAGCCCTCTGGTGAGAAGAGGTCCCCCTTTTTATGTGCACTACCCTACCATCTGTGATTGTTATAATAAATTTATTATTCCTGTGTTTGTCAGTTGTTCATCACTGTGTCCCCTTCTCCATGAATCTGGGCCCACTGTCCTGTCCAGGATGCTGTCAGCCTTGGGGCCAGCAATGTCCATTCTGGCCCTGGACATTCTGGACCTCAGCTCTCCTTGTTTGACACACTGTCCCGTTCCTTGGCCTGGTTGATCCCCCAGCTTCCTGGCAAAGTTCCTGCTTTCTGAGGTAGGAAGGGGTTGAGATTATTGCCAAGGAAGTGGGGCTATGGGACTGAAAGGACTGTGCTGCCAGGTGAGGGTGGGCACTGAGCTGGCCAACCCAACAGTGGATGCAGCTGCAGCTCCTGCTGTGGTGGGAGGGGTGGCACGAGTGTGGCCACAGCACTCTGGAGATGGCCCTCCTGGAAGGAAGGTGAGCTTGGCCAGACCCCCGACAGCAGCGTTTTCAGGGTAGGAGAGGATGGCGTCCTGCCCCCAGGAGCGTGCAGTCTGAGCAGGAGACGACCTGGAGCAATCCTGTGTTTCAAAGGCAGCTCTGGCCCAGCCAGGGGACCAGGAAAGCCCTCCCACCTCCATGCTCTTGGTGGAGACTTTGGGGAACTTCATGCCTTCCTGGTTTTTGGGTGAAGGAAGGGTCAGCAGGAGAGGGTGGGCGCTGCTCTGCCAACACTTCTTTTCCAGGGCAGCTGCCAGGTCCCAGGATGAGCAGACTTGGCTGCCTAGGCATGTCCCTGCACACAGCAGGGGCTGGGAAGGGATGACTGATAGTGGGGATCAAAGCACACGACTTGGAAATAAACAAGCTTCATTTTCAGTCTTGAACAGGTGTGGTGCTGGGCACCTGTAATCCCAGCAGGCAGAGGTTGCAGTGAGCCGAGATGGTGCCATTGTACTCCAGCCTGGGCATGTTGCAGACCTCAAGAAGAGGGGAAGAAGCCAACACAGAAGAAAGCAGAACCCATCCTCTTAAGAGGACCAGTTGACCTGCCTGTGCTTGCTACCAACCCCGCTGCCACCTCTGCCACTGCCACCACCTACCACCACTGTGGTCTCTGTGGCAACCCCGTCACCCCCTGTCTATACTCTGCCAAGGGTCTTTGGTCCCCTCCCTCTGCTGCCCTGCACATCTGTCAGTGAGAGCCTCCCCCACTCCAGGCAGTCCTGGGTGCCCCCTGCTCAGAACGATCCAGTGGCTCTCAGCTCTCTGCTTTTTTTTTTTGAGACAGAGTTTCGCTCTTGTTATCCAGGCTGGAGTGCAATGGCACAATCTTGGCTCACTGCAACCTCCACCTCCTGGGTTCAGGCAGTTCTCCTGCCTCAGCCTCCCGAGAAGCTAGGATTACAGGCATGCGCCACCATGCCCAGCTAATTTTTTTTTTTTTTTTTGTATTTTTTAGTAGAGACGGGGTTTCACCAGGTTGACCAGGATGGTCTCGATCTCTTGACCTTGTGATCCACCTGCCTCGGCCTCCTAAAGTGCTGGGATTACAGGCTTGAGCCACCGCACCTGGCCAGCTCTCTGCTTTTAAGCAGCAGAACCCTCTGCAGACAGGGTCTTGGCGGATGAAGAAGATAAATGGGGTTTGTTCTGGTTTAGGCATCGGGAAGGGGTTCATGGCACCAAGGGGCTCCACCTTCTTGGATTTAGGCGAACAAGGCAGCCCCAGGTGCACCAGAAAGGATCCTGGGGCTCCCAAAGGACAGGTAGAAAATGAGGGGGCCCCACCCACATCTCCAGCGCCACTCCTGCCTCTCCCCATGGATATGGCTCCCCATGCTGCCCTCTGCCTGCAGTGCGTTTCCTAACTGCCTGCACCTCCTGACTCCCCACTTAGCCTGAGTGATTCATTCAGGTCTGGCCTTCTCCTCCAGGCAGTCCTCCATCCCCCAGGCTGGGTTAGTTCCTTAGTTCCCAGCCCCCAAACCCATCTCCTGTACCCCTAACCATGCTCAAGGTGGGCCCAAGAGATGGTTCCAATGTATCTGCTGAGTGAATGAAAGCCACGTCATTCTCATGGCTCTTCTATAAGGTACTTTCTTCAAGTGAGGCCCCCAAACTCGTCCTGAGATTTCCTTTCTATTCTCCAGGTGGAGAATTTGGACAATTTCCAGATGTGAAGTGAAATTAAACAGGAATGGCCTGTCATGAAACACAAAGAGGTGGAAGGGATTTACTCTGGGCTTGAGGGGAATGAAAAAGAATTTTGGGAGTGTCCCGTGTGCCATGCTTGGCCACAATTTCTTCTCAATCTGTTAGTTAATCCTCACAACCATTCTGAGTGCTTATTCTCATTTTACAGGGGAAGGGTCTGGGCTCAGAGGTGGGCAGTGCCTGTGTCCATGCTGTAGAATTGCACATGAGGTGTGGAGGGGCCTGGGACTGACATCCCCTCTCTACCCTGTCCTGCAGCCACATAGTTGACTGACTCCCTTGGTTCTCAACTCCGGAGGCTTCCATTTCTCATGTGTGGCTGGAATCAGCACATTCAAGTTCCGTTGCTCTGGATTCCCCTGGTAAGCATGCCTCTGCGCCTCCCCAGGGCCAGACACCATCCTGGCTCTAACTCAAGGGAAGGGGCAGTACACAGAGTACTGTAAAAATTTTTCATTATAACGTCCTTTCCACTTCCAGGAATGACTCTAAACAGGGGTGCAGGAAAAGCCGAACCCCTTTCCTAGTGTTTAGAACGGTGAGAAATCAGGCTGGGCACAGTGGCTCATGCCTATAATCCCAGCACTTTGGAAGACTGAGGCAGGTGGATTACTTGAGATCAGGAGTTTGAGACCAGCCTGGCCAACATGGCAAAACCCCCTCTACTAAAAATACAAAGATTAGGCCAGGTGCAGTGGCTCATGCCTGTAATTCCAGCACTTTGGGAGGCCCAGGTGGGTGGATCACCTGAAATCAGGAGTTCGAGAGCAGCCTGACCAATGTGATGAAACCCTGTTGCTACTAAAAATAGAATAATTAGCCAGGCATGGTGGCACGTGTTTATAATCCCAGCTACTCAGAAGGCTGAGGGGAATCGCTTGAACCTGGAGGTGGAGGTTGCAGTGAGCCGAGATCATGCCATTGTACTCTAGCCTGGGCAACAAGAGTGAAACTCTGTCTCAAAAAAATAAATAGATGGGCCGGGCACGGTGGCTCATGTCTATAATCCCAGCACTTTGGGAGGCCAAGGCAGGTGGATCACGAGGTCAGGAGATCGAGACCATCCCGGTCAACAAGGTGAAACCCCATGTCTACTAAAAATACAAAAATTAGCTGGGCATGGTGGTGCGTGCTTGTAGTCCCAGCTACTCGGGAGGCTGAGGCAGGAGAATTGCTTGAACCCAGGAGGAGGAGGTTGCAGTGAGCCGAGATCGTGCCATTGCACTCCAGTCTGGGTAACAACAGTGAAACTCCATCTCAAAAAAAAAAAGATAAAAATAAAAATAAAAATCAGCTGGGTGTGATGGCATGCACCTGTGGTCCCAGCTACTTGGGAGGCTTAGACATAAGAATCACTTGAACTTGGGAGCAGAGGTTGCAGTGAGCTGAGATTTCGCCACTGTACTCTGGGCAACAGGGCAAGACTCTGTCTCAAAAAAAAAGAACAGCAAGAAATCAGAAAAAAACACTTAAAGGCCCAACAGCTAGGAAATGATACCATCAACTGTGGGGTAGCTGTATGATGATGTGTGTGTGTGTGTGTGTGTGTGTGTGTGTGTGTGTGTATGTTTTTCTGAGATTGAGTCTTGTTCTGTCGCCAGGCTAGAGTGCAATGGCATGATCTTGGTTCAGTGCAACCTCTGCCTCCTGGGTTCAAGTGATTCTCCTGTCTCAGCCTCTCAGTAGCTGGGACTACAGGCACCCACCACCACACCCGGGTAATTATTGTTTTTTTAGTAGAGATGAGGTTTTACCATGTTGGCCAGGCTGGCTCCTCCTTGAACTCCTGACCTCAGGTGATTTGCCCACCTTGGCCTCCCAAAGTGCTGAGATTACAAGCATGAGCCACTGCTCCTGGCCTCCAAATTGTCTTTTAAAAAATTTTTTAGATAGGGTTTTGTTCTGTCACCCAGGCTACAGAGCAGTGGCATGATTATAGTACACTCAAACTCTTGGGATTATGTGATCCTCTTGTCTCAGCCTCCCAAGTAGCCAAGTAGCTGGGATTACAGGTCTGCACGACCATGCCCTGCTAACTTTTTTAGCCCTTTTACTGAGATAACTCGCATGGCATACAATCCAACTATTTTTTTTTTTGAGATGGAGTTTCGCTGTTGTTACCCAGACTGGAGTGCAATGGCGCGATCTCGGCTCACCGAAACCTCTGCCTTCTGAGTTCAAGCAATTCTCCTGCCTCGGCCTCCTGAGTAGCTGGGACTACAGGCATGCACCACCATGCCCAGCTAATTTTTGTATTTTTTAGTAGAAACGGGGTTTCACCTTGTTGACCAGAACGGTCTCGATCTCTTGACCTCGTGATCCACCCACCTCAGCCTCCGAAAGTGCTGGGATTACAGGCATGAGCCACCGCACCTGGCACAATCCAACCATTTAAAGTGTCCAATTCAATGGATTTTTGTATATTCATAGTTGTGCAATCATCACCACAAGTCAATTTTAGAACATTATGACCTGAAATGAAGAGAGTGAAAAGCCAACCTACAATGGGATGAAATATTTGCAAATAAATGCAACAAAATAAGCAACCTCATTAAAAAATGGGCATGGCCGGGTGCACTGGCTCTCACACCTGTAATCTTAGCACTTTGGGAGGCTGAGATGGGTGGATCACCTGAGGTGAGGAGTTCAAGACCACCCTGGCCAACCTGGTAAAACCCAATCTCTACTAAAAATACAAAAATTATCTGGGTGTAGTGGCAGGTGCCTGTAATCCCAGCTACTCAGAAGGCTCAGGCAGGAGAATCACTTGAACCTGGGAGGCAGAGGTTCCAGTGAGCTGAGATTGCACCATTGCACTCCAGCCTGGGTGACAGAGTAAGACTGTCCAAAAAAAGGGGGGGGGGGGACACAAGAC